TTGTTCGAAAAAACCCAAAGTGTTGGTAAGCTTCTTCTTTTGTCCACGGTTCATACATTCTACCTCTTTCAAGTTCTTGTTTGAAATTCTCTTCAATCTTAGCTTGTGCATTAAGTGCTGATTTGTGGTTCTCTGGACAATAATATCTCATTCCCTTTACCTCTGCATTTACAATCCCTTGGCTAAATCCCTGTTTGAAACCTTTTATTATGTGTTTGTACTTCATTTCAATTCCATATTTTCGTAGTTCTGATTTCCAAACTGAAAGATTCATTTTACATGAAGGTCTAATTGGCCATACTCTGCCCTTCTGATTTTCGATTTTTCTCCTCACCGATCTATTTGGGTACATGGAAGGCTCATACTCATGTTCACTTTTCAGACCATTGTCAAGAAGCAATAGCAATAGAAAGCAAAGAAGTAAAATGTAGAACTGAATGTCAGTTCCCTTTTCTGGCACAAAAATTTTGTCTTTTTCGACTTTTATTTCAATGGGTCACAGAGTTTAGGCCTTTCCAGTATATAGCTTACGCTCATTTTCCTTTGACTGGTTTTCCATCTTTATCTCTACGGTCCGGACTTCTGCTCTTGTCTCTATGACTAGCATATTGGTCATTACTATACCAATCATCTCTTTTCCAGTTCCTTCCGTCGTCATGACGTCCTTTATAACCACCTCCACCTCTTCCACGTCTCCCATTGCCCTTATAGCTACTGGTATTAGCGTGTCAATTTTCGACTGCTCCTGATGAGTCTTTTGTTGTTGTTGACGACTTTGTTTTGTTAGTTAAGGGACATATGTGCGCTTTTGGTCTACCCGGTGCGTAAGGATTCGTTTTGTAGTGTTGCTAGTTGAAACTTTCAGCTGTTGTTTTTGCTTCCACTAACAAAGCCTCTTGAAGTTTGGCGTAGTTCCCGACTGATTTATCCACAGTTTCTCGCATGACACCAAGTCTCACCAACCTGCAGTACCTTAACGCTACCATCCATCCGAAGTCTTTCCAAAGTTTCTTCACCACCACTATATGGCCTTCAAACTTATCTGCTACGGGTTTCCATCCACATTCTGTTAGATGAGTGCAAAATAATTCGATACAATCTCCCCAGACCTCATAATCAATCGTAAGTTCTTCTACCGGCGCTTCTCCTCCGTATATCCTAGCCTCTCCTGACTCTTTCTTATCAGACTTTGTAGTTCTTGAGGACCAAGCTTTCTGATCTTTAATCAACCATTCCTCATCAAATACAGTCAATTGAATGTACAAAGTAAGTCCCTTGAGGATTATTGTTAAACCTGGTGACAACGGAGCTAGCGATTGTTTCATGCGAGCGTTTCCACTTTCTAAGATTCTTCCATTATGGATGACATCGCCGATCACTAATTCTAAAGTTCCTTTTTTTGACGTCAAGATTGCAAACGCTTTGTCCAACTCTTCCTTTGACGACGCTCCTTGAAACCATTCAGACTTCTCATGGATAGGTCGTTGTTCCTTTTGAATAATCGGTACAAGTTCTCTCGTCTCATTATTGTGGATAGGTGGAGCTCTGATTTCTTCGACTTGTATGTTGGATGGTAGGACTTGTTGTTGTCTGTTCAAAGGTTGGAGTTGATGCTGATTGGTTGGTTGAGTTTGAGTGGTCTCACCTCACGAATAAACGCTACTGAATTTGATTTATTGGTAAAGGAATCATCTTCATCCATGAGCTATTCATTTACACCAGTTTGACCTTTGTTATATTTGTTTAAGATTTTCAACAACGACGTAGCCTCCGCATCATCTCCTCGATTGTAGGCTTCTTGGATTAAGTTTCCTAGAACTTTCCGTCGTAAGTCTATTTGTTTCCAAACGATACAATGACATTCAAAGGTGAGATTAGTTTTTTCTTCTCTAACATTCCAATTTATTTGTTCGGTCTCCAATGTTTTGGCCACCTCGTAGGGTTTCATGCTCTTTAGATTTCTGATCTCTGCCTATATTTGGCGACACAACGTCGGACTTTAATATTCTCCTCCAGACATGGTTTTGCTCCTATTGTTAGCTGGGTTCTTATTATTAGCCAGATCAGGCTGGGATCTTATTTCACTACACGAAACATAATATTTTCTGGGCAGAAAATTAAATTATTGATACACAAAAATATTGAGAGGCCAGGAGAAGGGCAAAAAATAAATAAAAATATGCATCTTGTTCCCTGCGGTGAGAGCTTCACTCTCCATATTTTTCCATATTTTTACAGTCCGTATTGATAAGTGTACTAACAATAAACCTTCATAATGATCCAATTAAAACCTGTAACAAGCACTGAAATTTGGCTCATTAGTGTTTAGAGAAACTTTTGATTTCTGAAAACACCTATAACTTTGTCAAATCTGCCTCAAAACACTCGATTTTAAGTGCATTGGAAAGCTGAACTCTTCCTCTCGAACTTTCATAAGATCGAGAACTATGTAGCTAGTATGACAATCATTCTATGGATCTGTATGTACAAATGTATAAAAAAGATGATATCTTTTTTAGCAGACCAGCATGCTGTGTGGTCCTATTATGAACTATTTGGAGGACAATTCCAGCTTACCAATGCACCCAAAATTGAGCCTTTTGAGGCAGATTTGACAAAGTTATGAGTATTTTCAGAAATCAAAAGTTTCTCTAAACACTAATGAGCCAAAATTCAGTG